GTTCTTCTAGCGTTCTAGCGTCTCTTGGGTCAGTCAAAAATCTGGCCAGAAACTCCGAGCGGCCCCACCCGCCAACCAACCCGCCCCCAGCACTGAGCTCGCGTTCTTGGACCTCCTGCGAGACGATAGTCGGCGCCCTGTGAGCTGCTAGGCAGGCCAGGCCAGGCCCCGTCGCACCGACATTGTTGCCGATTCTCCATCCTGCATGCTGCGGGGCCCAGCCGGGAAACTGCCCATTGGCAGCGCAATTCCGCTCTCTTCTGGGCATCGGTCGGCTCCCGCCAGGGCTTCGCAAGTCACAGCGGCTCCCAAAAGCTGGGCCTCAGCCACGACAGCGAGGTGGAGCGGCTCGACAGCGGCTTGATCTCCGAAGCGTCGAGGGCGGCCTGCCCGGCTGGCTCCTGGACCTGGGCGGGCGAGGGCTGCAGCATGTCCACCTCGAGCCTGGTTGCGGTGCGAAGCAGGCGGCACGGACGAGGTGTCCAACTCCAGCATTGGAAGTTCAGCACGGCGACGCACGCAGGCGACGTCGCAATACTCCAAGGTTTCCTCGACGCTCCTATCTGGTTGAAGGCAGCCGCTGCTTGACCGAATGTTTGGGCATCCCCTCCCAAACTGCCCTGGCCCGCTGAAAAGCGAGCTGCCCATCATAATATGATGCACTCCTGACGTGAAGCCAGGGTGACCGATCAGACCTGGACTGCTGGGCGACAAACTTTGGCCTCCTCGAGCCCTTTCCGCACCCCAGCTTCAAAACGCATAGATCATCGATGGATCTGAGGCGCGGGGCCAACCTGGCCGCGCGAGCAAAGTTGAAGGGACCCTGAGACACACAAATAAATACACACAAATGAAAGGATTCCCCATATTTTCCAATATTTTCTGGGTTTCTGTCTTCCCCCCCACTTCCCACATTTTCCCATATTTTCCTGGGAATCGACGATTAATTGTGTCTGTGTGTTTTTTCCCCTCCTGAATCTCTTGGATCGGAGCTGGACCCCTCCCTCTCTGGATCGCGAGGGGCCGCGCCGTGGGGGGCGGCGTCGGGAGGCGCCGCCGGGGAAAAAGCGGCGCCGGGCCGAGAAAGCCGCGCGGGCCTCCGAGAATCCATGCCTGCACATACAGTCGCACCTGGGCCAGAAGAACATGCCTCAAGACCATGAGATCCTCCGTCGGCGAAAACGCACAGACCATCCAAGGGTAGTGTTTCCCCTCCTGAAAAGAGTGGGGCTCGGGGGCCGACGTGCTCGGCGACGCGCGCCGGCGGCTCGGCGAGCAGCCTGCCCGCAGCGGCAGACCGGCGGAGCTCGCCCCCCCGCCGCGCGGGCGCCGAGGCGCGCCACCGGGCCGCCGACCACGTGATGGACCTAAGCAGCGATATCACCTCCCTCCTCCTCCTCCTCCTCCTCCTCCTCCTCCTCCTCCTCCTCCTCCTCCTCCTCCTCCTCCTCCTCCTCCTCCTCCTGAGCACTCGAGAAATCGAGGGATGAGGGATCAAGGGGAGCCTTGGCAGGGCAGCAGGAGGCCAGGGAAGCCACGGCCGAGGCAGAAGCATACGCTGCGGGAGGTCCGCGCGGACTGCTTGGGTCGGCGCTGGGGCCCCCCCCCCCGCACATCCTGCTGGCGCCCTCCGCGCGGGGATTGACCACCTACCAGACCATCCCAACCCAACCCGAAGGCCCGAACTTCGGGTTGGGGGGGGGTAAGGGTTCCACATGTGTGTTTGTCGAGGTTCCCCGCCCCCCCCCCCACTGGGAATCGAGGGTAAATCTGAGCCTTCGGGTTGGGTTGGGGTGGTTTGGTGGGCGGTGGCATTTGGCACCGCCATCAGCAGTGAAAATAGAGCGCCGAACCAACTGAGGCCCCGACCCTCTGGAGCCCAACCTGGCGATGGTGGCCCCCAGGATGGGGACCGGGTCTTTCTCGGCACGACTGGCCCAGGCTTGGCGCAGAGGCCCAAGGAGCTCTCTAGAACATTCGAAGTCCCCAGCCTTAACCCTTTTAACTGGCTTCTCAGAAAGCTCTATCTCGTGAGACCACGAAATTCCCTTGGGCCGAGGACCGAAAACGGGTTCCACGGGCAAAAAAGGAGGCCCCCTGAAGAACAGGACCCGAAAAACTGCAAGTTGAAGATGGAAAGTGAGGTAAACAGGACGATGAGGAGATAAAGACGTTGACATGTCCACTTCACATGACGTGATGTCATTGGCCACACCCCCAGAGCACAAAAAGATAAAAAGAGAAGCTCTCGCCGCAGGGAGAATAATGGAGCCAGACGCCACGCAACTTGGCAACAAAGCTCGAGTCGTTCAGCAAGGGTGGCTCAAAGTTGCGGTCGGCTCCACACGCGAAGGGACTCCCCTGCATGGCCAAAAACATACCCAAACGAAAAAGGGCGTCGCGATTTCGATCTGATAAACCTTCAAAGTGGAACAAGTACGAGGAGGCAACCAAGAAGGAGGGGCAGCCAGGGAGATGAATAGAACCAACAGTACATATTCCCTCGACAACTTTCCATCCATGTACATCCATGAGACCAAGCCACGGATGGACAATCATCGCAACACCAGCAGAAGTGTCTCCAGCTTCCGCGGGCTGAACTTCTGACCAGACAGACTTCAAACCTCGCTCGATGCACCAAGCACTTGCAACCTCAATTACCGATCCTCGCAAACGAGATGGGGCCTCTAGGTAACCCTCGAGAAAATCCTTCACGGCGCCCCAGGAGTGGCAGCTGATGGTCCGATTGTTAAGCTCAACCGCGTTCGGATATGGGTTCTGAAAAACGCCAGCCGCCAAAACACGGGACGGCTGAGTCAAAGAAACAGAACCGGCAGAGCAGGCAAACGGGGCCTGTCTCGGGGCAGCCCTGACACAAGACCCAATCCAACAAGGGCCCTGAGACCTAACATTCCGAGGGGGCTGCGGGGGCCTGGGAGAGGGGGCCACCAACGACTTCCCTTCCCTGTGGCTCTCCCACAAATTCGAAGAGTTGCTTCCGCTGATGGCTGCGAACATGCAGGCAGGAGCAGCCAGCGGCAGCTCGAAGCCTGACACCGAGCGCAGGCTCGCATTCCCAACCCTGTCGCAAAGAGTCAAGACAGGGCACAGCAGCGCAGGCAGCGAGGAATCGATCGGGGCCGCACTGCTGAGACGAGAGCGCCTGAAAAACTCAGAGCCAACGCGACGCAACGCAGGCGAGAGCAGCACCGCTTCGGCTCTGACCAGAAGCGCGGTCCAGCGCATCCTGGCCGACTTGGCTGAAGCTTTGGCTCCTGAGCTTTCGGCTAAACGTGCGAAGCCCCTGCGGCTCCAGAGTTGAATCTGGGCCAGCGACGGGATGCCGTTGAAAGCCGAGGAAGACTAACAACCGTTTTGAGATACCCCTGGAAGAAGTCACCTAGAAAGACCATCGCGGGAAAAGCCCCGTAGGCCCTCTCAATCGTGCCTGCCAGGGCTTTCAAGGGGGACGGGTCGGGACTTTGCGACGGCAGCAGCTCGGTCACGCATGCTACGGCTACCCTCAGACAACTACTGTCACCAGCCGCTCCGCCGGGACGATCAGCCTGCAAGAATCGTTTCCGCCGCCGACGCTGCACTATCGGAAGCTCCACCTTCGGCGTCATGATGATACCTTCTGCGCTTGGCCGCCAGCCTCTTGAGGTGAGCATCATTACCAGCACGGAGTGAGTCCACCTTGGCCTTCGAGTCTTTGAACAAGACGGCGGCCAAGGAAGAGACGCCCTCTCGCAGCTTGCTGGCTCGGAACTCCAGTCCCTGCGTGTCGTCAGGCGCGAGTTCGTACTCAAGCTCGTCGGTCTTGAAGATGCCATTCGCCGGCAGGCCAGGTTGGACAACTTCTCAGCATCCAAAATATATCCGATGGAAAGAGCTGGCTTGGACTCGACGGGCTGCTCATGAGCAGGAAGTTGCCTGTGCACTTCGCGGACCTGCTCACCGTGCTCAGACTCGGCCTGCTCGAACTCATCACGTAAAACTCCCACATGCGCCCTCCGCGCCTCAAGATGCTGCTGCACCGTCTCGAGCTTGTGCGCAGCAGCTTCCAGCTTCTTCTCCGCTGACTGAGCCTTAGAATGCGCTTTCGACAACTGCACCTGCAAGCTCTCACTCTGCGTCGAAGCTGACAAAGCGGTGGCGGCCATGCAGTGCTGCCTCGCCTGTGCCACGTCACCCATCTTGCCACAGAGAGTCACCATCTGCAGCTACTCTTCGGTCGACGGCTTCGGAACAGGAGGAGATGACGACTTGGCACCTGTGGCAGTATAGGAAGGTGCGCGAGGCAAACCCTTGGCAGCTCCCTTCCCAGCACTGACATGCCACACACTTCCGCTCATGCGTGGACGACTCGCGCCGCAGTGCTTGCACCAGCTGAACCATGAGGCGTTGCGACGACAACCGCACTGCTGGCACTCCCAGCGCTGAGCAAGATTGGAAGTATGCTGGCTAGACTGAAGACCAGGAACCCAAGAAGGCCAAACGTGCGCTGCACGACTGTTCGCCTCCTAAACCCATGGCGCATAGTCGAAACTGTAGTTGCCCTTGCCGACGCCCTTCTTACCCTTGCTGGAATCCTTGCCCGCCACGGCTCCTCACGAATCGCGGTAACAATTGCTCCAGCAGGAGCTCACTGAATGAAAGAGGAAAGAGCCACGCTGGCTCGAAACAGCACAAGGTCGTTCTGAAGGAGCATGCTGCTGCAAGCGCAGGCAAGAGAGCCTGAGCCAAAAAGGCGGGCTTGAACTAAAATGGATTGAGCCAACATGGCTTGAGCCAAAATGGCCACGGAGGAGGTTCTGGAGGCCCCAGGAGGCCACAGGAAGCCCCAAGAGGCCCCAGGCGGCCCCAGGAGGCTCCAGAAGGCATCAGGAATCCCCAGGAGGTTTCAAGAGGCCCCAAGGGGCCCCAGGCTCATGCGCAGAGACGCACTGCTACTGTTGAGACTCATTCACAATCCAACTCATTCACTGTTAGATTCGCTGCCAGGCCGTCCATACTCAAGCCCGGATAGATTCGAAACCTCTTACGCCTAGACACTCACGGAGGACAGGTCCATGCGAATAAATGCATGTGTGGGAGCTTCACGCAGTGAATAATAGCATTGGTATAGTTGGTAAGATTCGTCTTCTTGGTAGTGATATTCCTACTAGTATTACTACTAATATTACTGCGCTTGTGTATGATATGATTCCGTACCAATTTTACCCTCATCGTAGTACCATTATTGTGATTAGCCGTATATGCTTGTTCGTCGCATTGTTAGTATTATAATTCGTATTCTTGTTTGTCCTCTACCTCCTCCTCCTGCTCCTCCCCCTGCTCCTCTTCCTCGTCCTCCTCCTCCTGCTCCTCCTCCTGTTCCTCCTCCTCCTCCTCCTCGTCATTCGCTCCCTCCATTCCGCCCTCCTTCCTGCTCCTCCCTCCATCCATCATTCCTCAGTTTCCTCGTCCTTCTCTTGCGAACATCCTAGAATAGATTGCTTCTCGATAGCCAGCGCAAACGAAACTGTCTAGAGTTGCACACGTCAGCCACCGCTGGATCGCGGAGCCGAACAGATTCGGAGGACATACCATATCCCCATTCATGTGTGAGGCACGAGAACATACCTTACCCACCCAACCCGCCATCCCCCGAACAGACAATCCGAATGAGCGACGCGGAAAGTAAGCAGTGAGACCAAGCATTACAAGACAGAGCTCACATAACATTCACGAGAGAACCTACGACTTAATATGTGGCGGGATGCTCGTCCTATGTTCGTTTGCCGTCCCAATTCTTTCTCCACGAAGTTGATATACACAGGCGCGTGCAGCAGCTCACTTGACGGAGTGCGAGTAGATGAAGGAGGAGAACAAAAATTCGGTTCCCTCAGCGTCTCGAGCGCGCACGTGAAACCTGCCCTGACGGGGCACATTGTTTGACGGCTACTCCTTTCGGAGCACAGGGGTTTCTGATTGCCCAAGTGCTTGAAGTCCGCGTACCAATTCAAAGTCTCGGGGTCACAACGCTCTTGCGGATCAATGTATAACCCATTTCCGCCGCCGCCGCCGCGCCTGTTAACGGCGTGGCCCACGATGTTGGCCTGACGACCACATGCCAGCCAGAATGCGCGATCCTGTAATCTGAGGTATTGGTCCCTGCGGGCATCGAGCTGACGGCCCAAAACTGACTGACATCCACTGCTCAAATCCAGCATCCACCGACACCTTTTGCGCCGTACCTAATAGTCACGGGCTGGCAGTCAAGCCTTCTGTAACCTCTCAAACTTACGCTGCACACGATGAAGAATACTGTGAAGCGGAAAGAGATGCACCTTTATCCGAGTGGCGTCATGCTTTCACGATTCTACTGGGAGAGCACGGCTTGGTACCCGATGACGGCATTTGCAGGATGGTTAGTACTGAATTCGCCGTTGTCACGACGAAGAGATGGCTGATGGTACACAGTACACACGAAGAGATGGCTGATGGCTGAAGGAAGGGGTCGGCAAACTCCCCGGCAACGAAACGTACAACTGCCGTGCCTGTGCTGATCTCACCGCGATCCGGCCTGGAGTAGTCGTCGAGAAAGTGAACTCCCACGAACGCTGGATTACCCCACCGGAGCATCCCGAACCATGTGCCAAAAAAAAGACACATTAACGCATCCTCGATCGTCTCAAGAACTAATGTAACACATAACTGGGCCAGTAGAGCTTTTCCAACTTGGCACCAATGGCCATGTAGGCCGTTAGCGCCTATGGGCAAAACATACCGCGAACCTCGGCCAAAAATGATCGAATGGACCTAACTAACAGCCGTAACCCACTCGTCATGCTCAACGAATCGCTTCTGCAATAGCTCTCCGCGCCAACCCTTGGGCCCCTCTAACAATCAACGGAGAAGGCTGGCAAACGCTTCCGAAGCGAAACAGGACGCCGTCACCGTAGGACTCATACGCCTCTTGCTCGATAAACTGGCTCTCGGGGTTGGTTAACGTGCACAACTCGGCGCCCTCTGTCCAACTGCCCCGGGATCTGCGCCAGACTACGAGCCGGCTGATGTACACATTTTGCATCCTGGGGCACCTCACTGAAAGTGGGGTCGCAGAGCACGCGGTCGGCGGCGAACGGACGATTAGTCGCGCAGAGAAGAACTTGGTCGCGCCGCCCAAGTAAATCTCTTGCCTGGCGCCTGACAGCCCAATTAACAACAGCGTCAACCGACGGCGCACGGTGCCTCGCACCAGCGCTACTAAAGGGGCCCTAGGACACACAAACAAATAAACACAAATAAAAGGATTCCCCATATTTTCCCATATTTTATGGGGTTCTGTTTTCCCCCCCACTTCCCATATTTTCCCATATATTTTCCTGGGAGCCGACGATTCATTGTGTCCGTGTGTTTCTTCCCCTCCTGCGCTGCAGCCGCGGGGGGGGGGACCCGCACACCGCGGCCCGCCGACCCGCTGCCACGCCACGGCGCCGCCGGAGGCGCTCGGGGGAGCTGGCAAGCCGTTGCCTGCCGAGCCCGACCCTGCTGCAAAGGTCACTGACAGGCATTTTGCCTCTTGCACGTGCACTTGCTTCGTCGGCCTACGTGCGCTTCGTGGCCAATTATCTCGCCATGTGCCCCAGCCGAGACCGTGCCGCTCCTTGGAGCTGCCCTTGAGAGCCGTCAATCAAAAAGCAAAGGTGACTGACGGATAGATTTTGTTTGCCCGGCTGGCCGACCCTCTAACGCCATCCTTGCTACCCTTGTCTCGTCCCTTGACGTTGGGAGGAACGCGCAGGTCGATCGGCCGCTGCACGGGGCGCGACACCCGCCGGGTAGCGAAAAATGTCGCGGGCACGCTCGTGCAGATCGTGAGCAGCACACATGGACCTCTTGTCCTTGATCTCCCTGGGCCCCCGCAAATTCACAGCAACACCCTCGACCTCATCGGCAACGTTCATCATGTATTCCATGTTACCCGCGGTCTTCCGACGCTTAACATCGCGGCCCTTTTGAAGCACAGTGCGTGATTGCACTAAGACCTAGTGGGTCTCCGTCAGTGTCTCTAGCTGTTTCTCGACCTGCTGATTGCGGTTGACATGCTATTCACAAAGACGATCGTTGTTCGAGGCTATCTGGGCCCGCTCCTAGTTGGTAGAGCAGGAACCCGCTGACCGACTCGCCCGCACTCTTGAAACATATTGTAACAATGTCACTCGGCGCGCTGGCGGTCCGCTCCACGCGCGCAAGCCTCTCCCTGACAAGATGCTCGATGAGTGGACCATCTTCGGGGCGAAATTGCCATGGCCCGGCACTCCCGCCATGACGCCTGAGCCGGTAGCAACCGAGAGGGGGATCGAAGATGTGGGACAAGGGAACAATTGACAGGTTTCCCCAGAGCTTGCTGGACTGCAAATGGCAACGGCATGTCAACAGTAGGTGGCAAGTCCCAACGCATGCCTGCCAGCTCGGCCGAATTGACTCATGTGTCGCAAATGATTACCTATGATTTCTCCACCGAGGTACGTGGTCAACTCCTTCCTTTCCTCCCTCCCCGCTCCCATCCTCCCTCGTCATTTTCATTCCTCCGATCCTCCCCCGTCATCACCCTCCCTCCTCCCTTCTCTTCCTCCCTCCCCGCTTCCTTCCTCCTCCCCCTCCCATCCTCCCCCGTCATCGTCATTCCTCCGACCCTCCCCCGTCTTCACCCTCCCTCCCTCCTCCCTTCTCTTTCTCCCTCCCCGCTTCCTTCCTCCTCCCCCTCCCATCCTCCCCCGTCATCATCACTACTCCGACCCTCCCCCGTCATCAACAAAACTCCTCCCTTCTCTTTCCTCCCTTCCCGACTCCCTTCCTCCTCCCCCTCCCTTTCCCCCGTCTCCCTCCCCACTTCCCCTTCTCCTCTCCTCACCCTTCTGCCCGCCTCCTCCTCCCTCCTCTCCACCTCCTCCCCTCCTCCTCCTCCTCCTCCTCCTCCTCCTCCTCCTCCTCCTCCTCCTCCTCCTCCTCCTCCTTCCTCCTCCTCCTCCTCCTCCTCCTCCTCCTCCCCCGATTTCTGACAGCCCCCCCAGCACGGAGCGGAGGGGGGCACGTTCGAGATGACCGGGTCCCATGCGTTGTCTGTCCTGCGGGCAGGGGCCACACACCGCCGAGGGGTCAAAGCGGGCAGAAAGGATTGGCACGACAGGGGCCCACGGCGACGAAGGAGAGATAGAGAAAGAGAGAGAGAGAACCAGAAAATAGAGAGAGAGATGGGAGATAGACTGGGAGAGAGAAATAAAGAGGCAGAGGGAGAGAGGGAGAGAGAGCGGCGGGGGCGGAGATGGAGGGAGCAGGGAAGGATATAGACATCAAGAGCGAGAGAGACGGAGACGGAAGCAGAAGACGGGAGACAGGAGACATGGATGACGAAAGGCAGAGGACAGGAGACAGAAGATAGAACACACGAGACTGAAGACGGAAGGTAGAAGACAGAAGACAGGAGACAGGAGACAGAAGACTGGAGACAGAAGACAGAAAGACTATGCATACGTCGTCCTCGCTACGTATATCGATGTTATCAAATCTGTATGTGTGTATCGAAATGTCTCTATACACACATATATGTGTATGTACAGATGTGTCACTCTCTCTCTCTATATATATGTGTATATATATATATATATGTATGGCTGTCTCTCCCTCTCTATACCTGTATCCACATGTGTGTGCATCGATATGTCTCTATGGGTGTGTGGATGCGTGCGTGTACAGAATGTGTATATACATATATACACATGTATATAACCATCTCCCTCTCTCTATGTATGGCTCTACCTCTCTCTCTCTCTATCGCTCTCCCTTTTTCTCTCAATCCCGCACCGAGGAGGGGCACAGGACAAGGGAAGGAGGAGGGGGCGAGG